AAACGCAATAAATATAATTTGATTCTATCGATTTAATTCTTAATAATCGAAAGAGAGAAATTTTATTTTTGAGGTTGGTTAAATGTGAGGTTGTTTTAAGGGGTAAACAGAAATATTTGTATACTTTTCTCGGTGGTACAAATTTAGAAACGATAAAATCTATTGCAATTTGTCGTTTTTCAATGATATTTACTCTGTTAGCTTAAAATTAAGTCAGCAGGACCACAATTTTTTATAAATAAAACAAGGTACAAAATCATTTTTAATGGTACAAAATACTACACAATAAGTACTGAAAAATAAATTTGATTTGATTTTACTGATTTAATTATTAATAATCGAAGCAGAAAGGTTTATTCTTGAAGCTGAGGTCAAAGTTGAAGTTATTTTAAAGGGTCGGCAGAAATATTTTTGATACTTTTTTTGGTGGTACAAATTGGTACAAATTCAGAAACAATAAAATCTATCGTTTTCTGTCGGTTTTTACCAGTTTTCATTTTGTTCTCTTTATACTAAGTCAGCAGGACCATAATATTTTTTTAAATAAAACAAGGTACAAAATCATTTTTGATAATACAAAATACTACACGATTAATGTAATTTTGTACCATTAAAAACAATTTTGTATGCCATATCCTTTAAGAGAAATCGTGGTCCTACTCACTTAATATAAAGTCAGCAAAATAAAAATTGTTAAAAAAACGAAACAAATAGTAGATTTTGTCGTTTCAGAATTTGTACCAATTTGTACCACCAAAAAAAAGTATCAAAAATATTTCTGCCGACCCTTTAAAATAACCTCAACTTTGACCTCAGCTTCAAGAATAAACCTTTCTGCTTCGATTATTAATAATTAAATCAGTAAAATCAAATCAAATTTATTTTTCAGTACTTATTGTGTAGTATTTTGTACCATTAAAAATGATTTTGTACCTTGTTTTATTTATAAAAAATTGTGGTCCTGCTGACTTAATTTTAAGCTAACAGAGTAAATATCATTGAAAAACGGCAAATTGCAATAGATTTTATCGTTTCTGAATTTGTACCATCGAGAAAAGTATGCAAATATTTCTGTTTACCCCTTAAAACAATCTCACATTTAACCAACCTCAAAAATAAAATTTCTCTCTTTCGATTATTAAGAATTAAATCGATAGAATCAAATTATATTTATTGCGTTTTTTATTACTTATTTTTATTACTATTTTGTACCATAAAAAATAATTTTGTACCCCGTACTATTTAAAAAAATATTGTGGTCCTGCTAACTTCATATAAAGAGAACAAAATAAAAACTGGTAAAAAACGACAAGAAATGATAGATTTTATTGTTTTTGAATTTGTACCATCAAGAAAAAGTGAAAAAAATCGTGATCCTGCTATCTTTATATTAGGTTTAGATAAGGGAGGGGTTGTTTAAAGGGGAAAATATAAAATTTTTTATTTATTTCGAATGGTACAGATTAGTACAAATTCAGTACTAATTGTGTACCATGGTTTATTTTTTTTTTTTATTTTTTTTTTTATCTTGCTAGCTTGATATCAAGTTAGCAGCGCCATCATTTTTTTAAAACGACATGTGGTACAAATTTTTTTTGTGGTACAAAATAGTACAAAATGAGTACTAAAAAATGCGATAGGTCTCATTCGATTCTGCTCATTTGGTCCTGCTAGCTTGAGAAAGATAATTTTCTCCTGTCTGCGATTATTGTAAAAATATGGTAAGTATCCGCGTGTTACAGTTTCTATGTGTGCATTTACGTATTTATTGCGGAAAAACAGTGAAAAAGGAGTTGCAAAATTTCCCTTTTAAATATTGCTCTCTAAGTTTGTTTAAAATTGAAAAAATATTACAATTAAAAAAAGAAAAGTCTGATTTGAAAGCAGCTCGAGTAAATTTTCGAGCGTCTCAAAGTTTCGTGTTGATATTTTCCATTTATAAACGAATAAATTTTTGTAAAGCTTTTTTATATTTATTATTATGTTTGTAGAATATATTTATTGTTTTATTTGTAGAATGACGTTTTCTGCGGCTGTATATATCCTATTTCTCATAATAAAATATAATTTTATTATCTGAAAGCATATATATGATTTGATTAGTTAAATCGTTCTAAGATAAACGTATAGTTAAAAATGATAGATGTCTCAATATCTCAACTTTAAAATCAAATTACACTAATGCAAGAGAAAGATAACCACTATTCTTTGACTATGAAAAGTATGCCTTTGCACTTTATTTCGAAAACAAATAATGATATTTAACTTTATTTATTATAAAGTAATTTTATAACAATAAAATATTTCTCAATGATCCCTATCTCAAATTGCACGTAGCAAACCTGCCACGATACTAATAACCTAGCCATAGTAAGTCTATATTTTGTAACTTATAACGACAAAGTCGTTACATTTATATTATTGGTAGCCAAGTATAATATATAGTATAAAAACTGCGCAATAATAATATAATAATAACGATACTGTTGTTAAATATCCTTCTACATCATCGTGAT